GGCACAGTCTATCTTCCCAGTCTCTCCATGGCATCTCCTCCCAGCCTCTGTCCTCCTACCTTTCCCAGAATTCTCCTTATCTTCTAATCCCACCTAATTTCCTGCCTTTATTGGTCAAACAGTGTTTTATTCATCAATCAATAAGAGAAACATATGTACAGAAGGACGTCCCCCATCCCAAGCTTTCATGGCAAGATATTATAATGGTTTAATTTAGAAATCTTTTTAAGTAGTGATTATATTTAGATGAAAATGGTAAGGGAAAAATAATTCTCATCTATTTTCTTACTGAACAAGGACCCCTGAAAGTAGGAGTCAGTTAGAAGGCCTGGGCATACCATAGGGCCTCTGGCAGTGGAACAGTATTTATCCCTAGTGTATGAATGGACTTTGTGAGCCCATACCCCATGAAGGGATACTCTCTTGGCCTAGATTCACATGGGAGGGCCTAGGCCCTTCCTCAAATGATGTGACAGACTTTCATGATTCCCCCATGGAAGGCCTCGCCCTCCCTGGAGAGTGGATGAGGGATGGGATGGGGGATTGGTGGGGAACATGTGAGGATGACAGGGAGAGGGAACTGGGATTGATATGCAAAATAATATTGTTTTCAATCTAAATAAAAATGTATATATACAAAAGAAAAGCAAAGCCGGGCGTTGGTGGCGCACGCCTTTAATCCCAGCACTCGGGAGGCAGAAGCAGGTGGATCTCTGTGAGTTCGAGGCCAGCCTGGTCTACAAAGCGAGTTCCCGGACAGCTTCCAAGACAATACAGAGAAACCCTGTCTCGAAAAACCAAAAAAAAACAAAAAAAAAAAAAACAAAAAAAAAAAAACAAAAGAAAAGCAAGAAAAGCAAAATGCCTCATAAGGAAGACATTACATATGTAAAGAAAAATCACTTTTTCCCTTACAGATATCATCTTTGATTCTAGCCAGAGGCACCACATTTTATCTTGTAAAGTAGCATAGGGAAAATCAGCATATAAATTATATTTTGGTTTAATTGAGGTATGTAATTTAAGAAACTTCCAGTCCTTTCTTCTATTTCTTTTTGCTCATTTTTATAATTCAAATATGAGGTGAATACTTGTTGCAACAGTATATGCTTGAAATTCCAGCAACCTTGGATGTTTTAGTAAAGGGATAAGGAGACCAATCAAACTTCAGCTGGATAGGAAGTCGAAGGCCAACTTGAGTGACGTGGACCTCAACCTTTTGCCAAAATCTAAGAAACTACTAAAGAAAGGTGTAGACATCAAAATAACAGGTACAAAGTAGAATAGGATTGAAGAAGTCAATTGGGAGCAAATTTCATTACAAAATAGATTAAGGAATAAATTATAATGATTTACATAATGAAAGTAATAAATAACTGAAGAGGAAGTGAAGTCTAGGCCCTCCAGGTTAGCTGTTTGTGAATAGAAGGAATAATAGAAATAGTAAATGCCATTTGGTTATCATCCAGTGTTAGGAGGTAAGTCAAAAAACTGTAAAAGTTGAACAGTCAAAGAAAAGAGATATAAACTATAAACACATTAAAATATAAAACATAAATATCAACAAAATAGCAGGTAGATGCTATATAGAAATAAAAACTATGTAATTGAAATAAATAACCTGTTTAAGTCACGAGGAATATCCAACTGGATTCTCAATAAAAGGAACACCATGCTGTTCACAAGATACACCTTAAAATTCAGGAGCATTAATAAGACAAAAGAAATAAAGAGTAAGGCTTACAATAGATCAATAGATACAAAATAAAACAGGATGCCAAACATGTTTCTAAAAATAGATGAGACAAACTTAACATTTTATTCTTAGTGTTAGCAAAAATGATCATCTCTAAATGATGATAAACACTTCAATTCACCAGAAAAAGACAAGAATTCTAATTCTTTGTCACCTAAAAATATAACCCCATATTATTTAAAGCAAGAACTGACAGAAGTATTGGGAGTGCTACTCTAATCTACATAGCAGGAGATTCAAGAACAGCTTTCTTAATAATGATAAATAATGTAGTCAAAAGTCTGTAAAATTCTGAAAGCTTTGCACTACAAAAATTAACAAGGTTAGTGAAGAGAAACACACAGAACACAGAGACCAGTCACACCCACAACTGTAGGATGTGCTTTCCTTCTGAGCAGCCAAAATGTACTTCAGATGAGAGCTAAGATGGTTTTATATAAAAACTAACAAAGAGGATTTTTAGTACTGTCATGTTTCAATCTGAATAATTCGTCTTTATGAGAGATACCTGTGTAGTGCATTTATTAACATCTCTTGTCTCTACCCTTTAGGTTCCTTTCCCTTCCTAGCTCTCCAGCTCTGTTTCAATTTTCAAGTCAGTCTTTTAATGTTTCAATCTTTCAATTCCTAATGTACAGAAAGTGTAAATGACTGCATGAAACAAAATTTTAAAACCTGAGAAATAATATGTTCTTATGGCAAAGACATTTCTTAAGCAAGACTTCAAACTAGATATTAGGAAAACTGAAATGACTACATTAAAATTAAGAACTTCAATTCATCAAAACTTACCATGAAAAATGCAAAAACATAAGCTCCAGACTAGGGAAATATATATTTGGAATATATATATACTTTGCCAGGCATGGTGGTGTAAGTCTTTAATCCTACCAGTTGGAGGTCTGAGGCAGTACAATGGTGAATTTGAGACCAGCCTGGACAATAAAAATAATAGAGTTCTTATTAAATTGATACAAAAGTATAAATAATAAAATAAATAATATAAGTAAATAAAAAGTATAAATAATAAAATTTGTCATAGGCAATACTCTTAGTAAAACTTAGTAAATAGAATATAAACTGAAACAATGGTTGGGTTCTGGTTCATAACTATTTAATTAGGAAATATTCTAAAATGCTGTAGTATCAGGTGTTAAACAGGACGTGGAGCAACTATTGTAATATAAGTTCATATAACAATTTGAAAATCAATTTCTTCTTACCCATAAAATTGATGTATAGACCCTGCATCAAGTAAGACCACCTCTAGGTGTACATGTTAGTGCTTTAATTTTCTTAGGCTGCTGTGAGAAGGTACTGTAGACCTGGAATGTTAAACCACACAACGTTATTGCTCACTCTTCTAATCACTGAAAGACAAAGACCAAGATGTCTGATAATTGGGTTTCTGGTGAGAGTTCCAATTCTGCCTCATAGATGACCTTCTTCTCTTTGTTCTTATGTTATTTTTTCCTTGGTGTATACACATAAAGGCAAAGAAAGGAAGGAAGAACAAGAGATGAAAATGTATGAGAGGAGTGGAGAGGCAAGGAGGAAGTGGAGAAGGAATGAGAGTAGGAGAGGCCTTAAGACCTCATCCTTTCAATTTTGTTTAACCTTAATTGTGTACTAAGACCCCTTAGTCTAAATACATCACGCTGGAGGTCTGAATTTCAATGTGTGATTTGGAGAGACTAAATAAGTTTATAGGATATAAAGAACATGTTGCTTACAACACTAATCCACTATATTATGTGTCCCAAATTATTCCTAACTAGCACAACAGTCTGGTGAAAGCTGAACCCTATTGTGGTTTCAGTTTCCAAGTTAGCAGGTAATAACCAAGCTTTTTAGTATAAGGAACCTACCTGAGGTGATCCAGGTCAGAGGAAGGAGTCATTCTAGCCCCCCCCCCACCAAAACATGGTCACATGTCTGTCTAACATGTGCAAGGTCCTTGGTTCAACCCTCAACACCACAAAAAAAAACAATGAATGAATTAAATGAGATGGAGATTTTGTCAAAAAATTCTGAGTTGCATTTTTATACAAGCATAGCTGAGGTAGTATATTTGGTCATTTAAGCCCCTCTTAATTTATACATGCTTTATGTTTATACAAACTGAAACAAATGAAAACAAATGCTTGTTACATGCGTATTTACCCTTTTACACTGTTGCCTAAGATGAAAAATAAAGGCTGACCAAAAGTGCAAATGAATAATCTAATAAGAATTCTTGTCAATAATTTCAATAGATTTCATAATACATTAGTCCTAGGTGAGTAATAATAGACTAAATAGACAAGGAAAAAGCATAGACTTGGATTGTCACAATAGCTATTAACAAAATGGTAGACAATATTTGAATCAGGGTCTGGAGTGGTTTAGGGGAAGGGGCCAACTGAGAGACTGAAAAGAGTCATACAAGAAATGTCAGGGGCTTGAGGTCTTAACGTTCCTGCTCTAGTGGGAAAGTCAATATAGAACTCAGATTTGAGACTGTAGACCTGACACTTGAAGTTTTAGAGTTATCTCTGAGAAGGCCATGGGAGATGGCTCAATGGTTAGAATGCTTGCTGCCCAAACATGGGCCCAGATTTTTCAATCTCTGGAATCAAATAAATATGTGATGTGAATGGCCTCCCACTTGTAATTCTAGGGCTCCAAAGGCAAAAGCAAGTGATTCCCAGGATAAGCTGGCTAGCTAGAATTGGTGCATTGGAAAAATTCAGGGCGAATTGAGAGTACCTGCCTCAATGAGCAAAGTGGAAAAAGATAGAAGATTCCTGACCTCAGCCTCCGTCCTCCACCTACCTTGCATGCACGTACAGACTCTCACATATATATGTGCTTGTAAACTGCACATGTATGCACATCACAAACATGCTGAAAAATATAAAATGGAATAGAATTGTCATTGTGGAAATCAAGAGATTGGCCTAATGGTGGTGATTCATGCCTTTAATCCCAGCACCCTCGAGACAGAGGCAGACAGATCTCTGCGAGTTTGAGAACAGCCTGGTCTGCAAGTGTTAGTTCCAGGACAGGCTTCAAAGCTACACAACGAAACTCTGTCTCAAAAGGGCAAAATAAATAAATAAATAAAATGAAAAGTAAAAGCCATAAAGGACAAATATTATTCAGTGTCCATTCAACGACATTGAAGGCCATATACTTTTTGTTTACCACCCTAGTTTGTGTTGTTAATCTGGGAGAGAGGGGTCGAAAGGTGAGGAGGACTAAGTCTCATGCAATAGGCAACTTTATTTAGAGTATCAGACAACTTACATTCTGAAGGTTAAGAAGAGTCACCTGAGTAATGTGTACAATAAAAAAGAAGAGTCACACATAACAAAATATGCTTCACCCAGAGTCATATAAATAACAACAGATGAAGTAAACCAACTTTTATCTGTTACTCCTGAGAGGATCATGAAAACACATTCCAAGAATAATTTTGTTACTTGAAGAAACTGAGGTCACAAGATTCTTGCCTTGTTTTCTTGGAGTTTTCTCACAAACACTCAGGCTTCTCACAGGACTCCATTCCTGGTGTGCATTTCAACAAATTCCCTGTCTGTATAATAGACATCTGGAGATTCCTCTCTGCAGTGTGCTTCATTCTTCCATTTGTAAATGTGTTCCCCTTCTGAATAATTTGGGGTCATATGCACATCAAGTTATTTTTTATTAAAAAACAATATTATTTTACATACCAATAACTTCTGAGCACTAGATGTTAAAATTATCCCTCAACCCTGAGCATCAGAATAGTCTGCATCATTGGCCACAGACTTGAAGCTTTGAGAGTCTAAGTCAAGCTGACCAATGCTGAGGCCAATATAACTATTATTAACAATAGGAGGGAGCTGTCATTCTAAACACCACATAATGGCTCATTTAGCCATCATGAGAACACAGCAAAGTAGATATGCCTACTGTCTCTTTTTGTACTAAATAAACTGAGGTGGAGAAAGACAACTTTTGTTCTGGTGCATATGGCACACCAGGTTTTTTTTTATTATTATTTAAAAAACAATCTTCATAGAGAAACCCTGTCTCAACCTCCCCCCAAAACACAATCTTATTTCACATATCAATCCCAGTTCCCTATTACACCACTATCTCCCCATCCCACCTCCCATCCATTCCTTAGAGAGTTTGAGGCCTCCCATGGGCATTCATCAAAGTCTGTCACATCATTTGGGGCAGGACCTAGGCCCTCCGCCATGTATCTAGGATGAGAGAGTATCATTCTATGGGGAATGGTCTCCCAAAGTCCATTCATGCATTAAGGATAAATACAGGTTCCACTACCAGTGACCCATAGACTGTCCAAGCCCCCACATCCCAACTGACACTCACGTTCAGGGGTCCTGATTCAGTGTTATGCTGGTTCCCTAGCTGCCAATCTGGTGTCCCGTGATCTCCCACTTGCACAAGTCAGCTGCTTTTGCTGGTTCCCCCAACATGGTCTTGACCCCTTTGCTCATCACTCCTCCCTCTCTACAACTGGATTCTAGGAGTTAGGCCTGAGGTTTACCTGTGAATCTCTGCGTCTGCTTCCATCAGCTTTGAATATGTGATGAAGGTTCTATGATGGCATTTAAGGTAGTCATCAATCTCATTACAGGAAAAGGGCATTTAAGGTACCCTCTCCATTATTGCTTAGATTCTTAGTTAAGATCATCCTTGGCACACCAGGTTTTTAACTCCAAGCATCTAGCTTCTCATTCCACACATTCATTCTCAGTACTTGATGGCAGTGGTGGCCCATGCTTTTAAACGCTGCATTTAATACTTGATATTCTTCTTGTCTAGTTTCTTCATCTACAAGTGTATATTTGTCTCCAGGTAACCCAGAAGGTGCCTTGCATTCTTAATGGGATTATCAAAGAGGCAAAGCACAGTCTATCTCTGTTTCTAAATTAAAGGAACACAGCTCGAATGCCGATAGAAGCGTGAATATAGCTGTGCAGAATACAGACAGAAACTGAAGACACCCTGACAAGCATGTCTTCTGAGATCAGAGCTGATTTGACGGGGTGTCTGAATCTCTAGCCTCAGTCACCCTGGAGACTAACTGGAGCCCTAACCTTCCATTAAAGTGATGATGTGAGCTTATTCAGGCCCCTTTCTGGATAAACTAGCTTAAACTGTAAAGCTGGCAAGTACGAGTCATGAGTAATTAAGGATACCAATTGGCATGGCCGTGGGAGAGTCTTCAGCAAGGCTCCTCCATCCAGTAGCATAGCATAGTGCTGAGTTAGTACTGGCCCGGGGTTCAGCAGGCAGCTCTGTTTGAAACTCAGGGTCTTTCAAACAACTGCTTTGAATATGTGAGTGACAGGTAGGTGGGAAAGTAGGTGATGTTGAAGTGGACAGGAACAAAGGTTCTAGTATAGATAAGCAAAGGTTTTAATCTCCCAAGTACCTCTTTCTCCCCACCCCCTTGTGTCTGTGTGATTTGGATAACTGGGATGGGATGGTTGCTCAGCAGTTATAGCGTTTATACACAGAGAAAATCTTGGGACTTGAGTTGAATCCCCTGAACCCAATAAATGCTAAGTGGACAATGTGGCCTGCCTACATTCCCAGTGTTCAGAGTCAGGCACAGTAGATCTCCAGAAAAATCTGACTAGTCAGACTAGCCCTATCAGTGCTCCAGAGTCAACTGAGAAATCCTTCCTCAGAGAACAAAGTGGCTATTGACAGAGGAAGACTCCCCAAATCAAGTTCAATTCATTTTGGGCATCCTCACACACAGGTTCACTTACACAAAAGAAAACACTCACACTCACACACACACACACACACACACACACACACACACACACACACATGAATGAAAAAGAAAAAAGGATAATTACCTTTCTTGTGAGGATTTAATGATATAATCCATAGGAATGGATTTAACATAGGACCCAACATAAATAGTAGCTAGTCTGGGGCAGCTAAATTGAGTTGAGATATGAACCTGGCTCTGGTGCTACACAGACACAGATTTACAGACAAAGGGATGTTTGAGCTGATAGTTTAGAACAAATCCAATTATATTCTAGAAAGTGGCAACTGTTCCCCTCTCTTATACTTCTATGCCTTTTTGAATATCCCCTAACTTGCAATACAGACACGACTAAACTCTCAATGTATGTAGTCCATAGAGGATCAAGTCATAGTCTTAAAAATGGATATAAATATATAAGGGGTGAGTATAACATGCAATATCAGTGCTGACCAAAATCAAGTCTGAAACTAAGCCATCTACATTATGTTTATGTTGTTCTTTGCAAAGAAAATGCTTAAGTACTAAACTGTGGCTGCACATGCAAATGTATAAACCCTGATGAAATCTCTTCTGCTTGCAACAAATGGGATTTCAGTTTTGTATTTCTGCAGTGACTGATGAAGAAACTTCCAGACAGAGATATGTCATGAGATATTTTCCCTTGTCTATTTACATTGGCTTTAACTTTCGTTTTAAATTTCAGAGAGAATCCCCATATTTTCAAATAGCCCCAAGAGAGCTGATGAAATAACTAATCTCTTTCCATGAGCATTCTAAAAAAAAAGAATTTCTTACCAAGCTATATACTACCCAATGGGACTGCATTGCGGTAACCTTTGTAAGAAGAGGAGAGGAGAGGAGAGGAGGGGAGGGGAGGGGAGGGGAGGGGAGGGGAGGGGAGGGGAAGGGAAGGGAAGGGAAGGGAAGGGAAGAGAAGAGAAGAGAAGAGAAGAGAAGAGAAGAGAAGAGAAGAGAAGAGAAGAGAAAAGAAGAGGTGTATTTATTAGACAATGTGCATCTTTCAGTGTGTGGGCGCGGCTTCTGTGTAGATACAGCATTCATTCAGATATGTCAGGACCCCCTGTCTGTTTCTCACAACACTTCTGAATTTACCAAGCCTACCCTATTGTGTTCCACAATTATATCCAGTAAATACCAAATACTAACGTGCTGAACAGCTTTCTCAATGTTCAATGTGGCTAACTTTGAAAATTCACGAGAACTATGTAGCTGACTTTAGACTCACTGGTGTTTCCTGCTTAGACTTACAAATTTAAACTTGTGTTCTTGCAGAGTTCTGTGATTATTCATTTATTTATAAGCTGGAATGGAGGGGGAAATGTGTCTGATGTCACCAAAATATAAAATGGCAGCATTTACTGGGAGTCTCCTACAGAGGGCACCTTCACCTTATTTGAAACCCATGTGAAAGAGACTCTCAGTGGGTACCAGAGCAAGAACCTTCAAGGCAGCAATTCAGCTTATTTTCAGGAACCAGTTTCTGGTGTTTTTGTTACCTTATCTCCAATGAAAAAGAGCTGGAAACCTCTGCCCAATCATTGCTAGATGCAGGATACTAACACGACCTTCTTATTATGTTCAGCTTGCTTGCGGGTGAGCTGGAGACAGCTGTTCATATTGCCTAAGAGACAACAGATCAATGGAAGAGAAAGGAAGGACAAGTTTTGAACTGCCTTTTTGCAACAATGTCCTTTATACAGCTGGGGATATTTTTAAAGCATTGTATTGGGAAACAAAGGCATACGATACAGTACAGAGTTGACGTTACCAGGCTTTGTTGTGTTGTTATGGTTAGTAAGTGCTTTTGGACAGAGTTACTTATATAGGAGCAATAAATATGTTTTTTTAGACACCAAAATATACAGGCATCACAGACTAATTCTAAGTAAATGTTGAAGAATTCTAAAAATTGGCACATGAGCTTGTGTACACATGTAAAACAATTCCTTGAGGCCATTTGTGTACAGCTGAATCATCAGGTGGAATTTTGGTACCATGTTTTAGATCATACTGCTAAAATAAGAGCTCACTGTGCTGCAAAAACCAGAGCATCACGTCATAGAAAATGTTGTCTTAAAATTTAGCATCACAAAGTGAGCACTACATACATCAAGAGGGCTTCAAAGTAGCAGTGCCTTAATGGTTCTTGATCAGGGGACTGCTTAGGAAACCGAAAGTAGTTAGAGTTTTTGAAGAAACTATTTTGAACAATAAAATAAAAATACTAATTATGTTTATTCTTGGGAATCACACTGTAAAAAAGAGAGAAGACCTACTTTTTCTCTTTATATTTTCAAGTGTTTGTTAGACATGCCACCTAGCACACATTATATTTCCAATGATGCTCATCAAACAAGTGTTAATTCTATATTTTCAGTTAATATTTTGTTCTCAGAACCAATTAAACTTTAAGTTGTTACTTCTGGACTGCAGTATTTGGATATAGGTTTGTAATGTGGTTGACTTGACATACACTACAAACAAGTAAGTGTAAGTGCACCCTAGTTACCAAAATCAGTTTGTTCCTAAGTAGTTTAAAAATGTTGTATTAAGCAAAATGTTTGAATTTCTTACCAGCTACTGCTAGAAAGCTGATTTCATCTTTAATACTGAGTTTACCTAGCTGGTCCATTCATCAGTTCACTCCTATGAGAACAAAACAAAGAACTCCCTGTCTATAACAGACTGAAGTTTGCCCTAATGCTGTAATCAGACATATTTCAAAATCAGTTAAATTAACTCTAGGAAGAAGAGACCCATTCTCTTGCTTAGCTGAAAAGAGAACACCTAGAATCTCCACCTGTCCAGGAGGTCCTGCCTCCTTGCTGATGTTGTCAGGTGTTCTGTGACTTCTTGAAATTTGTTGCATATCAGAGCTCAAGACTTCTTTGAAGACAAGGCCATTCAAGCTCCCCTTACTTTGCAACTTCCCTCTAAAGGGATAGTAAATGAAAAATCCAAGCAGTTCAGACAATTTAAATGGGGCAGCAGGGGATCTCTATTAGGATAGCTGTGAGTGTTCCCTAAGTCATCTACAGAAAGAAAGTGGTCTTCCTTTAAATCATGATGAAAAATTGGAGAAAGAGCCTAGATAGCTCCCCAAGGAAAAGTAGATTAGGTCTAGTGAAAGACTACAGAAAAGCTAAGTGTGCACACCATGTGCTGATCCTTTAAGGCCAGATTCTACAGGGTATGTCAACAGGTATTTTTTATGGGGGTGTGTTTGGTGAGGTGGGGTGCAGGCATCATATTCAAAGGAAGCCAAAGAAGTCACAAAAATTTCATGAAATACTAGGGATTTGGGCATCAAACTTTCGTTAAAGATTTTTCAAGATTCCCAAAATTGTCTTTTGGGGCAGGAGAGATCATCCATCCCCAGAATGTGATTCTGGATTGTATCTCATGAGTGCTTACCTCTAAGCAGGCACTGGGGACCTATATAGGCCTTAAATGCACAGGAACACAGTAATGTAGATCCAACCGTGTGGACTTTTACTTTCCCATTATCTTTACACTGAAATGAAAAATGAAAACTATTTTATGTCTGTTTCCTCTCAAAAGGTATCTTTTGAAAATACTTGGGAGGGAGTGACAATCAGTGATTACTGCCCTTTAAAATCAATCCTTAGCTCACAGCTTAGCTAGATGTGACAATAAGGGGACATTCTCCTAGATTGCTACTTGACAATTTCTTCTTTCAGGAGATTAGGGTCCTATATGAAGATGGATCTGATGCACACATACTGAGAGGTTGCCTACAAAGCCCCTTTGAGATTATGTCTTAGATTTCCCCTAACAGTGATGGCACAGATTAGTGGACCACTTGTGGTATACGGCATGGTTATTGTGGGAAGAGCACCATGGTGTCTGCAGTCCTCTGATTGAATAATGTTTTATGCTATCCTCATGTAAACCTTCTGTCCTGTTTTAGCAACAACACAGCAGATACCTTATAAGAAAGGACTATCAGGTTGAAATTCTTTTAGCCTTTGCATCCTCAGCAAGCTACACATACCATGAAAAGCTGGGTGCTTGGTGTGACAGATCGTTGGGCACTTTAAATTAGAGTGACTGTAAAGAAACAACTTTACAAACCTTTGCACATACTCTGTGTGTGCTCACGTTTGGGAGGTAAAGCTGCGACCCAAAATCTATCTCATGGTCTCAGGTGACAACAGAGTGTGCTCTTTTGTTTTCAGCCTTTGGGAGGCTCCTTAACATTTTTTTTTCTGATGACTACCAAAAGACAACTTTTTTTTCTGTATGGATCTCTGAAAAGTCCTGCTTAGTGGCCTAAGACTATTTTTCAGATCTTTGATACCCAACTTGATAGTCTCTCCACATTTTTACTTCAAGAATATTTTCCCAGATTACTTGTAGGTGACAATAGAACTGGATAAGCATGTTTCTGGTGTGTCCAGTCTGAATGAGACCATGCGTAATATGAAGAACAAGTTGTTCGTGTCATTTGGTAGCAAAGGAAATGGATGACAACACATGGAAAAAGGCTGTTTTAATTACCCAGGTGACATTTATTGATCAAAACACAAGCTCTTAGCATTATACTAGATATCCACAATGAATAAAATTGGCTAAGGCTTCCTGAAGAGAACCATAGCAAGTGTAAAATAATCATTTTCCCTGCCAGAATACCAAGTGAAAGTCACTACAACGCAGTGATGATGCAACACTAATGGGATTAGTTGGCCAGGTCCTTGGGTAGAACAACTTGCTCGCAAGCCTGACAATATGAGTTCAATCTCAGGAACTAACATAAGGAGAAGACCAACTCCATAAAGTCAGCAACAGTTCTGGGATTCTCTGAATTTGGAACCAGACAGGAAATGACAGGTCTGAATTACACGGGAAATATATATTTTTAGACATGGGGATGAAATATAGCTAAAAAGTGAAATGAGTTTAGGCATGGAAGGGATACAGGTGCCCATTTGGCAAAGGGGGAGCCTGTGGTATACTCAGACCTGTACTAAAAGCAAAGGAGTCTCAAAAGTTGTCTGTTCCTACATCACACAATGACAATGTGCCACATTCCTCTTATGAAAACTGGAGAGGTGAGGAGTTGATTGAGAAAAATCTACTCAGAGAGTCTGGCAAAGACATTGTTAGTTTTATCACTATTTGTACTAGTTATTTTTTAAGGCAGTAACTGTGTAAAAGTTTCAAATGGCCGAGTGAATTCGGGAGCCATGGTGCCCACCTCCCCCCCACTTCAAAGTGCACCCCTATTTCAAGATTTAATCTTTGCTGAAGCATAGGACTGTGATGCAATCACAACAAAATTCCTCCTCCTTAAAGTCAGCATTTCAGAGCCCCGTTAAATCAGAAGAAAAATTCTGTCTCCCCTCCTAGTCTCATAGCCCTCCGGAACTTAAATGGTAATGATGAGTTCATTTGAGAAAACAGCATTTTAGTGTTTCCCTTCACAAGCTCATAAGGCGAGGAAGGTGTCTCTTTCCCAGGAATCTGCACCTCCTTTTGTTTTCCAACATTACTGAAACTGACCTGGCATGGATCACTGGGTGAGCAGGCAATCTTAAACACTTCTCATATAAATTACTGGTTCCCTTCCAAGTGCAGTTGCTCACAGGGTAATACACCATTTTACAGCTTTGATAGCAAAGTCTCTCTTCATTCTACTGCACTCCACATCCCCCCTACCCTTCAACTCCACCACCAGGAAATGAACAGAGAAACAGACTAGCAGGCATGTGAGCCTCAAGAACAGACAGTCTGTTGCTACTTCCAGTGATGTATCTTGAACAGTTTGGAACTGTGAATTCTCCCGTTTAACTTCTTAAATTCCTGTCAAAGGTACTTCTGTCTTATAAGACACAATTTTAAAAAATGAAGTTATCAACATAATATGACATACCCAGATACCTTAAGAAGCAATTACTAGGTATATACCATCTACAAAAATATAGACAGGTAATTTTACAGAAATAAACAAGGCTCACATTTTGTGGTTCAGGTCTAATGGGTAGAAATGTCACACAATGTTCCCACAAAAAAAAAACAAGGTATGCCATTGAAAAAACACTCCCACATTCACTGGATACTAATGATGACCACATTTCCAATCCAATGACTATTTTCCCATGAACTCTAATGGCAAGGTGTGTTTTCACTGACAGTTAAGTTGGATCAGGACATGCAGTATTGTATTTCAGTTTGTGACTCCGTAAACTCTGTAACGTTCTTTGAAGTTAGGCATTGTCAGTCAGTTTCCATGTCTGAATAACTCTTAGATGAACCTGACTGACCAAAGTAAACTCGTTGAAACATACTATTTCCCCATAATTGATGTTCCAAGTGAACATCTTTTCATAATAAAATGTGCTGGAAAACAAAGCAGCCTTGCATCCGGCACAAGTTGCATCATAATTAAATTTTATTTTATCCCATTGAGGCATGCTAAATGTTGAGCAAAATATAATTTTAAGTAATTTGTTTGTATTCTTATCTGTAGGAGTTGGAAATTAACAGCACTGCCAGTTTGTGTTCACTGTTAAGCCTGGAGAGCAGAGAGATTGCTTTGCAAACATTACAGTTATTATGTCTGCAGTTGGTACTCTTTGTATAAATTATTGATCAGCCAGCTTATTTTTCTTTCTGCTTAATGGATATTATAGCATAGCCGTTTACAACGCCATAGTTAAGGTTGTGTCAGCACTTCCATTATAATAAACCCTCTGTTACAGGGGTTTATAACTTGTTGTAAAAATTTGCTCTGGGCTGAAATTTGACATACAAGATCAGGCATCCAGGAGGTAGCAATTGTTGTCCTTTCAACTTTTAAAAAATGTCTTTGTTCTGAAAAGTAATAAATAAGTATACACTATATTCTTCTTTAGAAATCTTTGAGAGTTCTGTCTTGAAATAAGGCAATTTATAGGCTATCAGTTGGATGTCGACCCCTTCTTTGATTTCATAAAGCAATCAAGAGGGGAAAAGGCCAAGAAAATAACGTAAAATGACTAAAAATATAAACTTTCATAGTCAAGCAAATTTCTTCTATCATGATCAAAGTCTACTATAATTTATACCTGAATATTAAGCATATATTGACACTATAACAGGTAAAATGCTATCTTTTCATAGCATTCCTGTGTATCCTTTAAGTAATTTACATCCCATAATACAGATCTTGTTTACTTAAGGAGAAAATATCCCAAGGATTAGAAAACACATGTGAAAAGGTACAGTTAAAGGCCCAGTATCTAGTGGGAAAGGAGGGATTTTAACATCTGTTTGTCTGACTTCCCAGTAGTTCAGCCTACCATTATTCTCAGGACGTGGCCTGATTTGAGAGGTGGAGGAAAATAATCTGAATTTATATTATTGTTGTTGCTGCTTCCTCCTACCATTCAGCTGCACAATGATGTCACTGTGCTCTCCACTGCAGGGATGATTTGGCAGGGCAGCCTTGCACACCACCCCACAGACAAGATGGGAGGACCCTTACCTGGAAGTGGGTACTTACTGGAAATCACAACTAATTCTGCACAAGGAATTGACTACTTGCCCTAGGAATGATGCCTATTAGAAAATAAAATCCGCGGTGATCTTTCTTTCTTCATCAACTTTTCTTCTTGCCATTGCCATCTCTTCACTCACCTGACTGGGGACATTCCTTACTGCCTGCTGCATAACAAGAAAAGCAGTTTCTTCTACTTGTGACTCTCATTCTGAACAGGCAGAAAGGGCAGGAATGAGAAAGGGAGGAATAGTGTTCTTTTACTGAACCATTTGGGATTGGATCTACAGATGATTACCATGTTCCCTCCTGAAACTTATGCTCTAAGCCTGTATCTCCCTGTTATTAATAAAATAATGAGTGCTACTTATAACCATTTTAATGACTTGATCATTTAGTATCAAAGCTGGTGCCATAAAGTCACAGTGCTTTGAGATAGGTGTGTTCCTATTCAGCTTCCCACCTTCTGTCTTTTGGATAATTCATCAGCAGATTCTGTGCTCCTCAATAGACAATGCCACAACCAGATAAGAGTTCCATTCCTGGTTCCTAAGGAGAGGCAGCAAATTTGAACAGAAACGGAGATTAGGGACTTGAAAGCCACCAAAAGTCAGGCAGAGGGATAAAAATGAGGAGGGAAAAGGTTGAAATTGTAAAAGATTGTAAGTCTGTGTGCAAGGTAGTTAAGGTTTATCTGAGGGGCTGATTGGCAAGGCAGTGTGTCTGAGTTAAAAAGGCTTGAGAGACTTACTTGGCATAATTTCTTCATCTTCAGTGATTTACTACTGAAATGCAAACATCAATTTTGGACTCTCTCCTGAGAAACATTTAACAAAGTCAGTGAACTTCTGGTACCCTGATATCTTTCTAGATTTGCCAAACTCTGATAGCTCTTTAATAAACCTGTGACTGAAGTTTATCTTCATCTTTTTTTAAAATTTCTATTAAGGAAACAGGCCCATTAGTAAATGCACAGATGTAAAAATGGCCTCTTTTACTTAGCCATTGTGGTATATCTGAGGGTTGTTGAGAAACACACTCCATTGTTAAAGCTGTTTGTGCCGGGTGTGCTAATGCACTCTTTGATTGAGTGAATTAGCAGTCATAACAATCTGGCAGTCTGGCCATAGAAGTGTGCTCAAATTGATTTGTGTTATGGCTGGACTGGAAAATCTAGTGTTAGTTGTTTTTGCCCTGGGGCATTGTTTGTACCAAACTCTACTTTTCATTTAATTTTCCAATACATTTTGCAAGATTGAAATGCTTGTGATCAACATTTGATCCACTTGCATTATTTAAAAAAATCTGAAAGTAATTTCAGATTCCAAAAAAACCTTGCTTTCAATTAGAGTAAACATAATTAGAGTGACGTCGTGCTTGGAATGGTAAATCTGCCTTTGAATCTATTAAGGATGCTTTCTCCTTGTCCTGTCACTGGGAGGAATTCAGTATAGATCTATAGCATACATCTGTAATTTCTAACATACATGCTCCTAATGGAGCTTACAGAATTAAGAGAATAAAATTGTAATGACTCTTCATGCTGCCCTCTTGCTGTGTACCTTTTCTCATATACCTAAACTGCTTCTCTTTCATTTAGAAATACCATAAAAACAATAAATTCAAAGCTTTCATAACAGGACTGTACTCAGATAAACATTGTCTTTCAGTTGCCCTATATTTTCTTATTTTGTTAAAAATAATCTTCCATTAAAAAAAAAACACTGCACCAGTTGCTACAAGAAACTCTGAAAAATGAAGACATGACTTATCCTAGATCTGTCAATATTTGTATCATTCTTACAATCTTGTTCTTTGCAGGCATTTACCAGAATTATAATGCAACATGAATAAACCTTAAAAAATGACTATTGATTACAGAGAAAGCTATGTGAAGTCATTTAGTCAGTTTCCCCACTTGAGAAATCACTGAATACAACATGTCAATAGAAAAGAACGGAATAAATGTAATACAGTTATGTGCCTCCCAGAGTTATAAGAAAGGGTCAAAAATAAGTCCCCACAGATATCCCCTTTATACACAAATAAAATGATACTTACAATTCCCAACTACAAGTCCATCTTTTTTACACATTTATTCTTCCCTTTTGAAACCACAGGTTGTGAAAGGATGTTTTTATGTGTCCCTATTCACCACTGAGCCTTTTAACCAAATAGGATGCCCTCATCATCCCTAAAGTGCCTGTTGTCATTCAGGTAATCACCGCGACTTTAGCTCCAACAGCTACTTTGTATTTTCTCACTGTCTCCTGCAAAGCTTGCAGCTCCCCCTAAAAACTGCATTCCATACTGCGCTGAACTCTGTATCCCGTGCCGATTTTTGTTAAGTAATAGATGATGAGACCATTCTTTTTATTAGTTCCCTTTCTCACCGGTCTCCTCAAATGGGGGAAAGGAGGGGGGAGGGGAGGGGAGGGGCCAGAAGAGGGCAGAAGGAGGGAAGAAAATACCTTCCCTGAACTGTACAAGCTAAGCTTCAAACGATATCCTAGGAAAGAAATTAAAGACTTCTTAATTAGTGCAGCAATTAAGCTTTCTTGGTAGCATTTTAATCAGCACAGGCCCTATCAAAGGACAAACAGAACGATTTGCAGGTCTTTGAATTTTAAACAGTCTTATTGATTTCAGCACAATAGGTCTTCACAAAACACAGGGAGAATTTTCTAATATCAGTTACAGAACTTTGAGTTTTGCTTATGCAAATTGAATGAAGGTTAGGAAAGATGAGATGGACGAAGAGTACCTTAAAAGCACAGGAGATGCAAAACAATAAACAAGACGAAAGCTCTCAATTCTAAAGATGCGATGCAGTGACCATTTGAAATCTTTCCTAAGTTGATCTATGTTCTGTGCTGAAGTACGGTTCGCCTTCTTCATCACAAGAAACAATATCTCCAAAAGTAGGAAAGAAAAAGGTGAAAATAACATGCGTTTTCAGGGGTTTTCTTTCTGGTACATTTTCTTTTGCAACATCTGACTTTTCTCACCCCGTTTTATCATCTAAGGAGCAAGTGGTGGCTCCTTGAAAAGGTTTAGAAACCTGAGGTGGGGGGAGGGGAGGAGTACCATATAGGAAGATGAATATGGTCTAAGTGAAGCATGTGCTCAGAGCACACGTTTCTCTGCGGAACATTTGAAGTTGGCTGGAAGCAGGGTGGGATTATGGCTTGGTGAGCATCTTTGCTTCGCTTCCTGTTTATCTCTCCAGAGTGTGGCAGATTTTGGATGAGTGATAGTTTGAGGAAATGTAAGAATGAGAATAGAAGGTCAGGCTTTGGGCATTTAACTCCTCTTTCTATCTATAAGACCAGGGCTGGAAACACTGCATCATTTCACATTTTAAAAGTACATTGGAGTTTATTAAAGTTAGGAATGGCATTCAAAAATAAATTAGTTTATTTTTCTTTTCTAACGTCACACTTTTTTCAGCATTACATTTCACTAACACAGTAATTTGACATTTTGAAAAATGGCAATATTTCTAAAATATATTTTGATATTTGTGATATGTACTCAACCCCTACTTTTAGTTAAGAATAGGTTCGATGAATGAAAAATTAATAAACTGCATCTCAGTATGTTAAAATACACTGGTTAACTAGGACAAACAGCTGTGAAAAGTTCACCTACCTTTGTAGAAGTTTATAAACTTTTATGAAATAATTTTATGAATTCTTACACTTTAAGAAAGCCCCCGAATACAACTATTTTGCCTCAAAAAGTTTAGTCTTAAAGAGTAAGTCAATAGTGTCATATTTCTTTTTAGAGGCTTTCTGTACCTCTTGACATCAAACTTCAAAGAGTTCAATGGGTTAAAAATGATGAACAGAAAGGTGATAACAATGTCAAAAACCAAAAGGAAAAAAATTCCGTCATAAAATTTCTCTAAACTCAGAGCCTACTATAACAGTTTATTTTGAAAATCTGTCAAATGCTGGTTCCTTGTTACACATTTTAGGAAATCTCTGACCATGTGTGACCTGGTTCAAAGCCCGACTACTCCAGATTCCTAGAAATATAAGCCACACACAGACTTGACCTATACTCAGATCATATGTTGGTCAAACATCCCCGAATAAAAACCTTCATGCAACAAGTTAGAGAACACAGGAGTAGGGAAAATGGAAAGCCCGAGTCCCCTCTAGCAGCTCAAAGACATGACCACCCTTCTGTCTTTACAAGGCAGCCAGGAAGCTTAGCTTCTGTTCTCACTATTTACAAATACATTCTCAATGACAAACCTAAAAAGATGTTCCCCAAATACAGCAGTACTTTTCAAGTATGACAGAAACCCCATAATTATTGTGTTAGTTAAATAATATGCTAGCGACTAGCCTTGGGTACTAAAGGATAACAGATAGTTGATTACTGTGCAAGACAGGTGAATTAATTAGAGTTTTGGGTAAGAAACACTAGCGTGTTTTTATATTTCACTTTCTAATCTTCAAGGACGCCTGATCTCTTTGAAATTTCTCGGTATATTACGCATGTCTGCCCTGTCTTTGGGGGGAGGGGTGAAAGGGAAGTTGTTTTAAGCCACCTATCTCATGACGAGAATGTATTTCCAAATTCATTAGGAAGTAAGGAATTCTATCAGGAGCATCCTATGATTCTTAAACGACTTTCTTCTTGCAACTTGAAAACTGTCCTGAAATATTTCTGTCTTTATATAAATATTGAAATATAGGAAAAAGCATCAGATACATAAGATATCACACTTTACTCGTGAATTTTCCTCAAAAAATTGCACAACAGTGGTGAGCGGCGGGGGGGGGGAGCGGCATGTGTTTCCTTTTGTAACTCTTTGTACAAACGTACAAGAGGGCAGGGTGAGGTGGGAGGGGCGGTTGTTTTATCCTAAATCCCTGAAGGTGAGCTGGCAGCTGAGCCTCGGCTCTCAGTCCTCAGGCGATTGCTCAGAACGTTTTTGGGGTGTCCGGGGACTTTACAAGTCTGGAAGCCACAGATTAGAAGGCATGCAATGTAACGGGTAGCAATGCCAGACAAGTAGATGACCCTCTGTCTCTGTCTCTGTCTCTGTCTCTGTCTCTGTGTCTCTGAGTCTCTGTCTCTCTCTGTCTGTCTCTGTCTCTCTCTGTCTCTGTCTCTCTCTGTCTCTGTCTCTCTCTCTGTCTCTCTCTCTGTCTCTCTCTCTGTCTCTCTCTCTGTCTCTCTCTCTGTCTCTCTCTCTGTCTCTCTCTCTCTCTCTCTCTCTCTGTCTCTCTCTCTGCCCCCCTTCCCTCTCTCCTTCTCTCTAAGCACCACTCTTGAGTCCTGGCTTTTCAAGGGCTTTCCTCCCACCCTTTCTCCCCTTACCCTCCCTCCTTTCCTACACGTCCCCCCCCCCCCAGGTCTCGCGCTCTTGGAGTCTGTGCTCCGAGTTCCTGGTTGGATAATTTGGGTTAATACTAGTGAGTGAGGTTTTCGCGGCTTCAAAGGGTATTTCAAGTATCCGGAGCTCCTCCCCTCTGCACCGTGTGACAACAACAACTCGTCCAGCCGGCAGCCTGCACTTTCAGCTCATTTTCTCTCTGTCATTCCCCTCTCAATCTTTGATCAATGTACTTGCCAGGGAGAACCCAAGTCCCTCGACCCTCCTCCTTTTCACCTTCATCCTTAACTTTGTGCTAGAGCGGGACCCACGTACCACCAGCCGACCCTCCCCGCCCCCCCGGCCCCCCTCCAGAGCAGCCCGCGATCCCAGCCCCGGGAGAGGACTCGCATTTCGACTTGCGGGACACTTTTGTGCGTTTCTCTCTCGAGCGCCTCTCGCGCTCGCCCCTCCTGCGCTCGCTCGCTCGCTCGCTCTTTCTTACCCTCACCTCCTCTTCTCCCCTTCTCCTTCTCTCTCTCCAGCCCGGGTTCCTTCCTAGAGTGGTTGTTGTCGCTACCCCCCTCGGTCCTCGTCCCTCTTTCTCCCCCTTCCCCTCTGGGGGGTGTGTGGCAACTTTTCCCCCTCGCTTCTCCTCCTTCTGTTTCCCCTTATATGTGACCATGGCAGTGCCGGCGGCTTTGATCCCTCCGACCCAGCTGGTCCCCCCTCAACCCCCGATCTCTACGTCTGCCTCCTCCTCTGGTACCACCACCTCCACCTCCTCGGCGACCTCGTCTCCGGCTCCGTCCATCGGACCCCCGGCGTCGTCTGGGCCAACTCTGTTCCGGCCGGAGCCCATCTCCTCTTCTGCTTCTTCTTCGGCGGCGGCCACCGTCACCTCTCCCGGTGGCGGCGGTGGCGGCAGCGGAGGCGGCGGTGGCAGCGGCGGCAACGGAGGCGGCGGCGGGAGCAACTGCAACCCCAGCCTGGCGGCCGGGAGCGGCGGCGGCATTAGCGCTGGCGGCGGCGGCGCCTCCAGCACCCCCATCACCGCGAACACCGGCGGCGGCGGCGGCGGCGGCGGCGGCAGCAGCAGCAGCAGCAGTAGCAGCAGTAGCAGCAGTAGCAGCAGCAGCAGTAGCAGCAGCAGCTGCGGCCCCCTCCCCGGGAAACCTGTGTACTCAACCCCGTCCCCAGTGGAAAACACCCCCCAGAATAATGAGTGCAAAATGGTGGATCTGAGGGGGGCCAAAGTGGCTTCCTTCACGGTGGAGGGCTGCGAGCTCATCTGCTTGCCCCAGGCTTTCGACCTGTTTCTGAAGCACTTGGTGGGGGGCTTGCACACCGTCTACACCAAGCTGAAGCGGTTGGAGATCACGCCGGTGGTGTGCAATGTGGAACAGGTTCGCATCCTGAGGGGACTGGGGGCCATCCAGCCCGGAGTGAATCGCTGCAAACTCATCTCCAGGAAGGACTTCGAGACCCTCTACAATGACTGCACCAATGCCAGGTAAAGAGAGGAGGGGAACCTCCCGTCGCCCCGATCCTTTCCCACCCTCCTCCTCGCCCTTCCCTCACTCCCTTCCCCACGCCGCCTGCTCCGCGCGTCCGCAAACTGCGCGCATGGAGGAGCGCGGCCCTGTCCTCTGGGTCCCCGGGGCTTGTCTCCTCCGCCCGACCTCTTGGACAAGTTCGCACCGCTCTGGGCCGGCCTGGTCTTCCCTCGGCTCCCCAGGGCTTTCGGGCTCAGCTGCCTCTGCGCTTGAGATGCTTAGAGTGGGGAGCAGGAGCAAGGCGCCTTCCCAGGAGTCGCAGCCCCTTCCTGGGCGTGCTGACGACCGGCACCCTGTCTGGGCACTGCTGGCCGCCTATCACTCCTGGGACATGGTTCCTCCGGAAGCCTTTGGGCATCTCTAGGGGAGGAGGGAGGTCGTGACCCTCAGCCTGCAGGGTTCGGAAGCTGGGGTATGCCCTCCGGGCTAGGGGGTACTCTAGGAAGAAAAGGGGGTGACCTGGCAGTCAAGAGCGGTGCTGAGAAGTCAGCGGGGAACAGTACCTGGGGCTGGGAGAAGAGCAGGGGTGATTCAAGAGTTCACACAGGGAGTTCAGCTCCGAAATCCCGGGGGGAAGCTTGTGTAGAGGAGGGGTTCTCTGTCTCTGTGCCCGCTGGTGTGTGTGTGTGTGTGTGTGTGTGTGTGTGTGTGCACGCGCGCCCGCGAGCGCGCTCTCATGTGTGTGTCCACATTTGTCTGTGTGTGTTCGTACGTGTGTGTGTGTGTGTGTGTGTGTGTGTGTGTTAAAGGGGGGAAAAAAGGAGTGCGTGTGCCCCGGGGCAAATGTGAGGGAGGGCACACACACGTTTTGTTCTTCAAGCGATGACCTGGTGCCCCAGCCTCTTGGAAGCTGAGTCAGAGAGGTGGGAAAGAAAGAGCCCAACTTGCTCGCGCTCTTTTCAAAGTGCAATTTACCGGTCTTGTTTTTTCTTTGCTGGGTTTAAAGGCTCAGGAAAAGAGAGCAGGTGTACATTTCGCTCTAGGATGCTAAGGGCTTGAGCACTTTTCTCCTAGTTTTCCTTGACAAAGTGCTGGCACCCAGGAGGCCTTGGGACAGTCCCAGACCCAACCAGTTTTATGCTAATGAACGCTCTGTGGGGAAGGACCTACCGAGAGGGGGCGGGAGTGGGGCAACTTGTCAGTTTCGGGGTAGAAAGGATCCAGCCAGCTGCTAGCAGAGGGAGAAGTTCAGAGGTTCTGGGAGGAAGAGAGTAGGGAAAGTTGGAGATCTGAAACAGGCACTTGGGAACTGGGCAAAAAGATTCATAAACAACTTTGGTATCTTTAAAATGAGCTTAAATAATGAAAGAAAGTGGGGGCTCTTAGCAGAGCTAAGGGAGCTGGATGGAGCAGGGAGGGTGAGAAGGTAATCATTCAGGAGATGGGAGGCAGAAAGCCACCAGCTATTTCTTCTTTGAGACTAGTCCTCTGTAGGGCCTAGGAAGAAAAGGAAAAAGATTGGAACTCCATCCTGTCCTTACTGACTTAGCAAAACTTTGTTTTCCGTGTTTCCTTGTCGTTCATTTTAAGAATTAAAAATGTGTAGGTCTTGACCTCTTATCTGTGTGTGTGTGTGTGTGTGTGTGTGTGTGCATGTGTGTCCCTGTCCCCGTCCATGTTCATGCACACTCGCGGGCACACATGCTCCTGCTGGATCTGGTGTATGGCCAGATGGCAGTGAGTTCGGGTGGACATGCTGATCACTAAATGCCATTTAGTCAGATAACTGTCATTCTTGGTTGTCCAGAGGATAAAATATTTGCTCAAAAACCGTCATAAAAACTATCAGAATCAAAGAAAAATATTATTCTTGGCTTATGAACAATGCAAGGTAAAATTGGAAGTCAGCTCAGATACTTCGGTTGTCACACTGACTCCGTGACAAATTGAGATGCTGCTCTTCTCTTTAGAATGAAATGTCTGCTCTTCTCCCAATCATCATTGTGTGTTTCTGATGCTGGATGCTTTTACATTTGTGTACACACACACATACACACACACACACACACACACACTCACGCAGCATACACACACACACAGAATTCCTTACAATGGCAATGCGATATGATTTCAATTAAATTGAAGTTTTCATCATGTAATCAGAGGATACTGTTAAAGATACTAATTTTTTTAAGTTTTCTTTTTGCTTTCTTTCCTCCTCCCACCCCGTGGTTCTTCTCTTCATTCTCTTCTTTATCTTCCTCACAGTTTTTCTTCCCAAAGGAGCCCAACTGTTCTAGAGACTTAAGCTGCAAGCCCAAAGCTAAGCTAAACCCAGTGGAATTGTTTGCCTCTTTAAAAATATCTCATCTGTACCCCAGATATGTTTCACTTGGCCTTAATATTTTGTGATTAAAAGTATTGTCCTAAAGTCCTACTTCAAGTTATTCTTAAGTGCCGATTGACTTTTAAATTTTAACTTTATGTCAGCTAAAAAGCCAGCTCAATCAAAGCCATGGGAATTCTACAAGTTAACCTGACAAGGTATGAATACATACCTGCATAGGTTCTCTTAAGTCTGCCACAGGCTAAGAAATGGAAAATTGCACTTGAACTTTCTCTCACCAAAATACACAATTTGCATACAACACATTACTGTTTTAATGGTAATTACTACGCTTACCTTTCATTTCTCTATTTTGAAAGCAATAGCCCGAGTGCTTTGTATCTTGAATTTGAAAATTTAAATTTGTCCTTTTATTTAACTCCAGCTCATGTTTAGGTGTTGAGATATTGTTTTTACGAATCTAGATTTGAGTGACTTCTTTAAACCAGTTTCTGTCTGCCCTGGGTATTTAGCAGATCAATAACATTTCAATTGTGTTATTGAAAATGTAGGAGCAATAAAATTGCCAGTACATGTTTAGCTCTCTCTCTCTCTCTCTCTCTCTCTCTCTCTCTCTCTCTCTCTCTCTCTCTCTCTCTCTCTCTCTCTCTGTGTGTGTGTGTGTGTGTGTGTGTGTGATATCAAATCAGTATTCTCTGCTTACAGGATGTATATCTAATGAGGACTCTTAGCAATATTTAAATTTCAGGGAATTTTAGGAACCAAAGTGATGCTAAATGAAAGAAACATTAATAAACTTCTTGAGAGTAACTCAGGAACAGTGGCAAATCTTAAAGTGGATTTAATTTGCTTGGGGCTATTGAATTAGTATGCTCTCTATGAAAATTAGAGTAAATGTTGAAGCCATCTGTCATTACCACTAGGAGATGAAAAAGGCACTATCACCTTCGAGACAGTAAAGATAAAAAGTATAGATCTCAAGACATGAAAGAAAATATAAAGAATTGCATTTGAAAGTTGTTAAAAGGCAAAGGCTGACCTTGGTCTGCTTCCTCCAATTATTATTTTAAAACTAAACATTAGTTGTCTGAACTTGGCTGTTGCAACAGAGGTCAGTTAATTAACTGCTAACCATTAAATAACAACAACAAAAAAAGTAATTATGTACATGGTCAAGTCTGTTTGTGTCAGTCAATTGCTTGTTTGTAGATTTGGGTTAAGGTTCGATTTTTCTGTGAATTCATGTAACAAAAAGTAGCTCCTGCATCCTGTTATCTAAATGCTTTCTTTCTTATTATTGTCAGAAGATGATTTTGTTTCTGTATTGTTTAAGCCAGGCTATGACTTGTGTCCTATGTTGTCCGAGATTTTCAGAGGCTTTTTTTAAAAAACTTAAGTAGACTTCTAACCTTTTATATGTATACAAAGATTCATTACAGTATTCTTTTATCTTCAAAGAGATATTATCCATGAACATAAATTAGAAGATTTGCCAAGCCTTATATGTTTAAGGGTCATAGCTGAAAATAATTATAGTGTAAGAAGTATACATTTTCCCTTAATTCTTTATTTTTCTTGTCAAGGGTTTTAATAAAGACAGAAAGCTGGCGCTGTATTTATTCAACATTTTCCTCATTGCCTGCTTTGCATTCACATGGGACTTTTAATACAAATCCAGATCAACTCACTTCTGAGGCTTGGCACAGAGAAATTCAACAATTATTTCATATGAAGAAACTATGCATTTGAAGTTTTTGTCTTATGGCAGATTCATGGGTCCTACAAAACCCAAGTGTCCCATTTTATAACATTTCACAAGAAAAGCAACATGGTTTGAAGACCAAAACATAAAATATGAAAGTTGGTTTTGTGCTATAACTTATTTCTTTCTGGTTTGCAAATGTCAGAAAATGAATGAGACATGATAATTGATTGATTGATGTTGATCAACTTATAGTATAAACTATAAGTTTTTGAATTATGTAGCTAATGTTTATTAAGTTTGTTTTCTTGTTTGAAATTAGTCTTGGATATAATCATTATCATCAAAAATACATATGGTTTTACTTTTAGAAAAATACACTTTAATAAATATTATTATTCAATAAATTTGATTTTCACAAATAATATTTTATTTTTAAAAAGTTTCAGATATTATCTAAAATGAATAAATTAGTCCCATGCCCAATTTCCTTATGCAAAATTTAATAAATTTGATACCAATTTTAAAAATCACCTCTTTATCAGTCAATGCTTGCTTTTTTGTTGTTGTTGTTTAATCTACTTAATTTCATGGGGTTGCTTGTGAATTACAGAGACAATATTAGACACCTTTTTGCCTCACTTACCTCCTCCAGTCCCCTGGGATGTGACACCCTATATTGATTAAAGTCTTGGCAGTGTTTAAGCATAAATCACTCCTTTCTTTGTTGATTTACTACATGTGAATCACCAACATACAAAAACATAATATGCTTTATTGTTTCTCATTCGATGTTTTGTTTCTGGAATGTAAGTAGCATTTGCAAATTAGCTTAATGTGCAACCAAGTAGTTGTCATTTTTAGAACTCTATGTGATTTGACTATCAATCAGTATTATATTTCCTTCTCAAGTTATCTTATTCAATTGTTTCCTACAATTGTCTTTGCCAATTAGGTAGAATAGTTATTTTACTAGTATTGTATTAGCAACACAAAGTACAGCTGATGCAAAATACAATAGGAGGTGGAACTCTCACAGGTTGTAAGTAGTCTCCCTTTGATTCTTTGCTTGAAGAAAACAGTTTGAAACATGCCTTCTAAGTAGGTACAGGTGAGTTTACCACTTTTAATTAAACATTTTGATTATAAGTGTGTTTTAGATTCTTTACTATGTTCCAACTTTGTCTGAATTTTATTTTTCAAAGCTATCATTTTCAGACTGTCAACACAAAAATGTCACATCAAATTATATGCTTTGGAAATGGCAGGGAATATGGAGTTGCTAAGAACTGAGTGTTTAAAATGTGGTTCACTGGAGATTTTGCCATTTTATATTTAAATGTTATAAAGACTATGATGAGATTATCATTGGCTAGCGTGAACCAGTTTCTATTCTGAGGTGAAGGATTCTGATTGGTCAGTTAAGATATTTGTAAGAATAAATACTTACATGAGTGCCCAGCATAAACATTCTAGATAAGATTGCATTCATATTTTTAGCCTTTGACACAGCACTAAGCTGCTTCTTTATGATAGTATTTGTTGCGTTCCTTGCTGTCCAAAGGCAGAAACGTTGGATTGAAAACCACTTAATTGAGCTTA